CAACTCCACACTCCAGGACAGTACAGGCCTGGATCTCTGAGCCCTGCGGCAGGCCCGGCTGGCTGCTGTCCTGTCGGAGGGCCTGGGATCCCTGACCAGCTAGAGCATTCACATGCAACATGCAGTGGAGTGGTCTGTGGGGTTGCAGCTCTCACAGGCTGGGCTCGGCTAGCCCCAGAGGCCACCAGGCTGCTCTCTGAGACCTTTCCACGGCACCCACGCAGCGGCGGTGGTGGCCCAGAGCTGGCAGGCCCCAGTTTGCTCCTCAGAGGCACCTTCAGCAGGGATACGACCCCAGCTTAGCAGCCTGGCTGGTGTGGGCAGTGGGATGGGTCTGGGGCTGTGGAGGCTAGGTTGGAGAGGGTGAAAGGTCCTTAATCGCCTTCCCCAGCCCACAAACCAAAGGAAAGGAAAGCGAAACCTAGCGCGGCCTTCCGGGACACTTCGGAGTGTACAGACCCGGTCTCGGGGCCTAGGATGTGGCCTACAGCCCACAGCGCCCTGGGTGGCAGCTGCCCCGGGAAGGTGTCAGTCCCCCAGCTCCTGGAGGGCCCGCTTGCTCCCGACTTGCAACCACTGTGCTCCGAAGCAGGCCTTGGGGCAGCCCACAGGGTCTAGCCTGGAAGTTGGTCATTTTCCAGCAGAGTAGGGTGCCGAGTCCCCAGCCCCTTCCGCTGAGTGACTGTGCTCGTCTTTGGTATGGAAAGCCAGCTCAAGGGAGTGCCCAGAGCCCAGGGAGCTCATCCCTCTGGCGCTGAATTCCCTTGCCAGCTTCTGCCTTCCCCCTAGCTTTCTGGGAGCCTGTGGCATCGCTGAGTTCTTTTGGAGGAAGAATTGCTCCCCTCACTGGCTTTGGATTGGGGTGGGGTGGGTGAGGGGTGGGTGAGGGGTGGGGGCCCCTCCTCCTCTCTCCTTCCTTCCACCTGTTAAGAAAGGCTTGGCTTGGAAGCAGCTCCCCTCCCCCATACAAGGTGCACTGGGGAAGCCTGGGAAGCCCCCAGATGTTTGAGAAATGGGCCAGGCGGAACTAGGGTCTCTGAGGCCAGATGTATTGTGGTTGAGTCTGCTGCATTCAACAGGGTGAAAGACAGAGGAAATATTTTGCAGGAAGAATGGAGACGCTGGAGTAGAGAAATTACTCTGTATTTGAAAGTATCACATTAGGTCTTTCTTTTCTTTCTTCTTCAAAAAAATTCACTGAAACAGAAGGGGGAAGAAGTCCCGTGGAGTGAGCAGGGAGAGCCTGCCTGCACTGGGCAACCTGAACGAGGGGCTGGCTGGGGGCCTCCACAAGCCTCCTCAGCCAGGCACTGCAGCCATGCGCTGGCATCAGTATCATCAAATCATACAGGAACTCTCCCTTCTTTAATTAAAAAGGGGATGGATCTTGGGAAAACTGGAGCAGATTTGCACGGAGAAGATTTGGTTCCCAGTGACTTATTTGGACGCGTGTGTGACAGGGTATCTGGATTCGCAGGCACACACAGGTCTGTACTCCGGCTGAACTCCCAGAAGCCGCTGTGCGCCTCCACGAGATCTCTGTATTCTTGGCCACGTTGCACCTAGGAAATCTTACCTTAAACATCAAGTTGAACTGTCAGTTGGCCCCAGCTTCCTAGAAACGGGAGGAAAATCACTTAACCCCCGGAGCTGTCGAGTAACTTCTTCAGGGTACACTTTTACTTTACACGCCTCAATTAAGAGATCGCAAACCCTAGCCGAGCGACCGGAGCTATTTGGCAAAATCTCCAACCTGGGGGAAAGCGCAAAGCCAATAGAACTCCCAGGGCGATTCAGCCCTAGGGGGTAGCCGCCGCTGGCGGAGGCGACCTCTGGGGAAAATGCTGGCGTGACATCGCTGGTCTTGGTTTGGTGGTTATGTTTAACTGCGAAAGGGATAATGATTTCTAATAAAGTTGGACGGGGCCGAAAGAACAGCTCAGGTAGTGGCAGCAGCGGGGCTGTGGGTGAGGGGTCCCCAGGCTCTCGGACCCTGCGTGGCACGGAGCTTTGCCAAAGGGGAGCAGGAAGAGGGAGGGAGGAAGGGGACGAAAATGGGTTGGGGTAGGGGACGCTGGAGCGGGGGTCGACGTGGGGCTCCGGGAAGACTCGTCGGCCAGCAGGCTGGCGCGCGCTCTAGGAGTGAATTCTCGGCTGGGGAGGCCTTTATACTTGGGTCGGAGCGGCCGGCTGCAGATTGGGGTACTGGCGAGCAATTGGACTATTGTTGATATGCTAATGAGGCGATTAGGCTGTGGGTAAAGAGCTGGAAAAGGGAAAAGTTTCTACCATTAGAGGGAGATCTCCGAGCGCACACGGGAGCTCGTTCCCTTCTCTCCTCCTCCTGGCCCTTCTCCTCCTCCTCCTCCTCCTCGCCCTCCTCCTCCTCCTCGCCCTCCTCCACCTCCTCCTCCTCCTGTGCTCACCGCCGGCAGCCGGCACTTTGCGCTTACCCAGAGAGTAGCTCCACTTGGGCGCGAGGCGGAGCGGGGCACATCCATTCACAACGATCCATGAAAATGCTTTGGAAACTGACGGATAACATCAAGTACGAGGACTGCGAGGTAAGCGCGGTGCCGGCTCGGCCGTCCCTGCGGCCCCAGCCTCGGAGCTCGACCCTCCCTCTCCTCCTCTCCGAGCAGCCAGCTGAGAGAGGCGGGTGGGACAAACTTTCGCCAGCACAGCGCCCGCCCCTGCGATTTGCCCAAAGAGCTCGGGGGAGAAGCTGGAGAGGGAGCATCTAGACGCTCCCTTTCTGTTTCCGTGCTTCGAAGCCCGTGTCCCACTTTACCCCCTTTCTTGACCACTTTTGGCTGTGTCTAAGAGTGGGGCGAAGAGGTGAGAGTGGGTTTGTTTTTTTTAAGACTCATGGACAATCGGGCACGCGCCTGTGCACTCCGCGTGTCTCACAGCGAGATTCTGGGGTCCCAAATCACAACTTCCTCTCTGATGTTTAATGTATTCATTCTCTCTCTCTCTCTCTCTCTCTCTCTCTTTCTCTCTCTCTCCCCCTCTCTCCCTCTCTCCCCTCCCCCTCCCTCCCTCTCCCCTCACTCTCCTCGGATTTATTTATTTGGAGAGGGCCCGCGCGCTTGGTTCTGAGCTCGGTTGCATCTCCCCGTGAGAGGCGCAGTTTGGGAGCACTCATCCCGGCTGCCCGGCCCACTCCCAGCCCTTTCTGTCTCCAGAAGTTCTGAGCAGTTCCTCCCGCTGAGCTGCGGGGTGTGTCCACCCCGCGATGGCGGTGGTGGCGTCGCGGACGCTCTGCGCCCAGGGCTCCGGGCCCGAGTAACCGCCCTCGCGCCAGCGGGCTCTCAGCTGCGGGACCGTGGGAATCCTGGCGCAGCTGCTGACCGCCTCCGGGGCCGCGAACCCCCTGGGCCCGCGGAGCGCGCCGCTTGGAGGCCCATTTTAGAACTCAAGGCCCTCAGAGCTCCACTTCGTGGGACAGCCGGGGAGGGGAGGTCCGAGAGCGAACGGTCGGCCCGAGGGAGGCGCTGGGAACCCGCGGCGGCCTCCTCTGCAGACCCCCACTGAACCGGGCGGAGGAGTCTCCGCGAGAGGGCGGAGGCAGGAGGCGGTAGATTACCGAATAAACACGGCAGCCTCGACTTTTCCTTCCTCCCTCTTCTTTTTCTTCTCTCTGCTGGCATTTGGAGGCGCTGAGAATGCTAGGCGACGCCTGCGCGCCCGCGCCGCGGCGGAAGTCTCGCCTTTACTTGAAATCAGAAACTGGGTGTCTGTGAACGATGTGCCACCCTCTCCCTCCCGTTCCCTTCTCAGCGCTAAGATACATCTTTGTGCGTTCAAGCTCCCCAGTTTCTCTCCCCAGTCTCGTGGTCGGCACCGGGTGACACCCCCAAGGGCACCGGCGCTTCTCCGGGAGCTCCAGTCGCGCCGGGAGGGGAGCGGGGCCCGCGCTCGGGAGGTGGCTTTGTTTCTGGGACCGGGGGGCTCTCTGTGGGCAGGTTGGGACGACTGAGCCCCTCGGTCTCTTCCTAGGACAATCCACGTTGTGCAGGTTTGAGCTCTGGCCTGAGGCTGGAGCATTTCACTTTCGCGGAGGCTCAGACCCAGTTCTAGGTTCGGGCGCGGGTGGCGGCCGGTTCCGAACCTCAGCGCGGCTTCGCGCGCAGGGACCGGGAGGGGCCGGGACCGGGCGGGAGGTGGATGAGGGACTCCACCGGGGCGCGACTGAGTGCGTGCGTGTGAGTGAGGCGAAGAAGACGAGAAACGAGGGGGCAGGAGGCGACGTGAGTCAAAGCTGTTCCGACAAGTTTGGTCGCGGCGCGCGGCCGCTGCAGCGGGGATTTCGGCTCCCGGCCGGCTCGGGGGCTCTGCAGGGACACGCAGGGGGCGAGGTGCCGCTTGTCCTGACAGCCCCGGCCCGGCGGGCGGCCCGGCGGCGGCGGCTTGCCTGGAGAGCCGGCCTTGTCCTCCGGGGGGCGTCGGGCGGGAGTGGCCCAGCCAGTCGGACAGGTTTACGCCGGGAGTCGGGAGCCCGTGCCAGCGGCGCCCGGGCCGGGCCTCCTCGTGTCCGTGCGCGCCCCGGGCCACGTCCCGGTTCCCCCTCCCGGAGGCCTGGCCAGGAGGGCCGAGGGAGGGGCGCACGGGTTTCACGGGGACGCTCGCGAGGACGCCGAGCCCAGGGCCGGTCCCAGATCGGGCACCGGGCCATGCAGGCGCCGAGCGGCGGCGGCGGGCAGCCGAAGCCCGAGTCCCAGGCCGGCCTGCGCGGCAGGGAAGCGCGCGGCCGGAGAGCCCCGAGAGGCGCCTCCGGAGCGCAGAGCCCAAGCCTCGCCCGAGCGCGGTCCCCCGCGGCTCCCGCCCGCTCCGCGCGACCCCCGCCACCTCCTGAGGTCTGCCCCAGCCGTGCGGGTCCGATTGTCCTCGCCGGCTTCCTCTCCCCTCCCCCTCCCCCTCCCTCCCCCTCCCGCGCGGCTCCCCCTCCCCTCCCCCTGCGTCCCCTCCCCTCCTCCCGGGCTCTCCCTCCTTCCCTCCTCCCCGCTCCCCACTCCGAGCTGCTCTGCCTCGCCCACACTTTCTTTCTCACACACGCACGCAGACACATTCTCCCTCTGCGCGCTCGCGCTCTCTTCTCGGCCTGCCTCGCTCCCTCTTTCTCTTTCACTTTTGCACGCCCTGCAACCTTTTAAAATGTTGCCCCTGCCCTGTGATTCGCCAGCCGCCGCGCCGCGGCCCCCCGCGCGCTCGCCCGCCGCCTCTCTCGCCCGCTTTTTGTCTCCGGAGCTCCCCGTCCCCACCTCCGATTCGCTACACTGAGGCTCCGTCAATGGACTGCATTGAGGGCCGGCTCCGGCGCGAGCTGCCTCTCCGCTTCACGCTCGATTTCCAGGCATTCTTCCCGTATTAAGTATTCGTGTAATATTAATAGTCATGAATATCTGCTATTAGGAGGCTCCAGGAACGCTGCCGGCGAGCCCGGTTGTTAGAAGCTCAAGTGAAGCCGCCGCTAAGAACAGAGGGGAGACACGGATTAAGGAACACGAGCGCACACGCATGCACACACACTCTCGTCACTTTTTTCTTTTTGGGGGTTTTTCTTTTTTCTTTTTCTTTTTTAAAGAACTTTGAATCCTAACCGACCGCGGCAGGATAGAGACCGTGCGTTCGACCAGCTGAAGGCGCCACGGAGTCTGTGGTCCACGTCCAGATGGATGCGCGCGGGGCGGCGGCGCCCGCGGGAGCGTCCACGCGGTGACTTGAGTCCTGCGTGGCGCGGGGCTCTCGGCGCCTTTTGTGTGGGGCGCGCTCGGGCGGCGGGGCAGCCGGGTGCTCCGGGCTTGCTTGTTTTTTCCACCCTGACTCGTTACCCCAGACTCTTCGCAGATGTTAGTTCACAGTTTTTCAGCGATGGTGAGTCCCACCCCCGCCCCCATCCCCGTTTCCTTCGGAATTCTATTCTGGAATCCTGGGGCCGGCGAAGCTGCCCGAGACCTCGGGTTTTGTGCCCCGGGGTTCCTTCCAGACACCTCTCCCCGCTTGCGTTCCCTCCTTTTCCACTCTTCTCCCACTCCCTCGCTCCTGTCTATCCCGGGATCCGAAGCCTTGCCACCAGCCCCGCGCGCTGGGACCTACCCCGCAGCTGCCGCCCGAGGCGTGTTTCTCGCCACGTTCACCTTTATTTCCTTGCTTCTCCACTTGTCCCCGAGGTGTGAGAACACTTTTGATGCTAAATCTGTGTCCAGCAAAAAAAATCCCATCCGGCGAGCCCCCAGCCCTCGGTCAGGGTCTGTGGCTGAGCCGCACAGGGTTCGCGTACCCGGGAATCCGGTTTGCTTGTCTTGCAAGCGAACTGCAGTAGAGGTTCACAAAGTCAGGCGTTTCCTGGCCCTTTGGGGCTGGGTGGAAGGGGCGGGGGCCTCCGCCCCGGGGTGCACCCCTCTTGCTTAAGCCCAGTAAAGCTGAGCCTTTCTATTTTAAACCTTAACTGGATGTCCCCCATTCATACCCCGTAAACCGACTCTGTGGGGGGAAAGGCTCCTAACTGAGGAAGCGGAAAAGACAGACCCCGGTCCTGCAGTTAAAACCTCCCTTAAACTGGTCATTTAAGCATGTGCTCTCGTTACAACCCCTGTGCAAAGTATGGTTCTGTTTAAATACTCATGAAATGCTAACAGTCTTTGAAGGTTTATGATTTTTTCCCCTCTTCTAAGTGGAAGAGAGTAAACAACGAAGTGACAGACAGGTTCAAATCCGGGGGAAAAGAAAAGGCCGCTTCTGCCTTTTAATATTTAGCAGGGATTTTAATTTTGCTTAAGGGAGGTTTCACGCAGCCGTTCGACGGGCCGTCTTCCAGGAAGCCACTTTCCACCCTCTCCCCCCTTTCAAAGAAGCCAGTGAGGAGAAGCCCTCGCGCCCCCGGTCCACAGTCTACTTCCGCCGCGCTTTTGGAAGGGCCTGTTTGATTTCGGGTGTTCTCTGAGGTGAATGTTGTAGAGCTGATTTTTCCGCCCCGGCGGCCTGCAGGATCTAAAGAGCAGTTTCCTGCCCAGCTTTTCGAGTGGGTTTGGGAACTCGGCAGTGGGTCGGCGCCTGATTTCTTGTCCTTTTGCCTTACTCTCGCCCCCTTCCAGGACCGTCACGACGGCACCAGCAACGGGACGGCACGGTTGCCCCAGCTGGGCACTGTAGGTCAATCTCCCTACACGAGCGCCCCGCCGCTGTCCCACACCCCCAATGCCGACTTCCAGCCCCCCTACTTCCCCCCGCCCTACCAGCCTATCTACCCTCAGTCGCAAGATCCTTACTCCCACGTCAACGACCCCTACAGCCTGAACCCCCTGCACGCCCAGCCGCAGCCGCAGCACCCGGGCTGGCCTGGCCAGAGGCAGAGCCAGGAGTCTGGGCTCCTGCACACGCACCGGGGCCTGTCCCACCAGCTGTCGGGCCTGGATCCTCGCAGGGACTACCGGCGGCACGAGGACCTCTTGCACGGCCCGCATGGGCTCGGGTCCGGACTCGGAGACCTCCCGATCCACTCCTTACCTCACGCCATCGAGGACGTCCCGGTAAGAGGCCCCGAGGGCCGGGACGCGGCGCCTCTCCTGGCGCGGAGACGTCCCGGGAACCGCGACCGGGCCGGCCGGGCTCTCCCCCTGGAGGGGCCTTCGTGAAATGTTTATTCGGTGATAGTGGTGGTGGGGGGTGCTTTGAGGACCCACATAAACAACCAAATTGAAAAATCAAAAAGCGATGGAGTCCAGCAACAGAACAATGGTTCCCGGAGCTCCCTCAAACAATGCCACCATTACCATTTCCACCAACACGGAATAAATCAGATGAATGTCACCACTGACGGAGGCTGCTCCTGTCCACGACGACAGTAAGCTGTTTCTCGATGGCGGAGGACCTCTTCCTCCCGCTCAGGCTGGCTTGGGGATCTCCCTGTCCTGGGCAACATGTTAAATTTAACCAAAAGAGCTCATCAAGGGCCCTCACAATGTAAAAGGAAGTGTGAAAGATGCACTGAAAAGACCCTTTAAACCGGATTTTATAAGCACTAGCGAAACCTAAAAGTTATGTAGACCCTGTCCTGACTGAAGAAAAGTCAGTAACAAACCCAGGCAGAGGGACATTAAAATGCAGCTTTCTTCTCCTCCTAGGGGTGCTAAGTGGTGACCTCATAAATCATTAGCTGGGTTCCCAACGCCTATCAGAACCTGCTACACCCCATATTAAATTAAATGTTTTGAGACTATTGGGGAATACGTTATTTGAGTTCTAATTCAGTTATCAATAAATGCAGTTTAAAATGATTTCTAAATAAGCATGGCATTAGCACATTTACTGTTTACAACACAAACCAGGCTATTGATAATTTGAAAATACTTTCTGAAATTAAATTTAAACCAGCATCACTGTTGCAATTCTATTTATGGTTTCCTCACGACCTTTCTGTAATGGAATTAGAGCAAGCCAATAATTTTATTAAAGCAGTAAAGGCTTCTTTTAAAGCTGCTTTTCTTTGGAGAGGAAATGTATCTGGATGTGATTTTTGCTAAAATGCTATTTCAAATTACTGCATCAAATATAGCCGCAGTATGTCCGTTGACAGTTTAATGATTACTGCATTAGATTGTAAGGAAAATGGTCACATGAACTTACCAGCTTGCTTGGTGGATTTAAAATATTATTTAAGTTCTATAGAAAATTTATTACATCTCTCATTTGGCCTAGTTAATCACTGAAATTTGTTGGGTATGGTTAGCAGCCTTGTATGGAAAACAGGAAAGTGGGCACTTTGATCCGGGCTAAGGTTTAGTAAGCATGGTGTACGTGCTCATGTTTCCACGTTTTGAGAAAGTGTTACTTATCAGTGCATTTGGGGAAGTAAAATGGGTACTTTACAGAAGAGTAATTTTTAAAAAGATCTGAGCATTTTAGTTCCTTTGCCTGAAGAGTCTTTGAAGTCTTTTTTCTTGCTTGCTTTTTAGAAATATTTGAATTGCAAAATAATGTAAGCTTTTGGAACTACTGTGAATTAGAATCGCTCTTACTCTGCAAAAATTTCAGGTGGCTGGTGGGAATTCTTAATACCTGTACAGTTGCTCTTTGTGGGTAAATTGGTCTGTAGGAGAAATTAAGCAAAAGATTAAAAAAAAAGCAAGGAAACCCAGTTGCTGCGCTTCCCTCTCCCTCCCCCACCTTTTAAGAAAAATAAAATTCTTTCAAAGGAATTTGGGTCAGAAAAAGGGTTGTTTTCAATTTTCCCATTGCTGCAACAGTTAACCTTTAATAAGAATGACAGCTAAATATTTAAGAAAATCAAATCGATGGTGAAAATTATTTAATCATTAATATCTCAGTGGGGCTTTAAACTTAATAGTCTTCCCTGTATGGACAAGGTCTAGAAATAACACAAATAAAAGTATTATGCCACACTACATTTACTTTATGGGTTTAGGGTGCATGCATAAAGGGATCATATTTCCCCCATATAGTTAAAACACAAGAACTGCAGTAGTAGTCATTTCTGAACATTTCTCAATTTAATTATACTTAAATCCAGAAGCACTTTAGGCAAGTTACAAATGAGAGCATTGAGTATAATAAAACCTGTAATAAAGCAACTTAGTACCATCCACCCGGAATCATTGCGATCAGGCACAATTAACAGGAGCATAAATCCAAGACAGAATGGAAAATGTTCGAATCAGTATTATTGTTGGACAAAGACTAGAGAAGGAAGTAATAGTTTTTTAAATGGTAATGCCTGTGTTTGGTAACGATTGTGAAATCTTCTATCTCAGCAGCCCTGGTGCTAATTTGTAAACACAGCCAGACATTATATTGCCTGTCAGTTTATGCATTAGAAAACATGATTTCATTTTACTTTCTCATCACGTTTTGACTCTAGCACACACACGTATACCCATTCATCTGTAAAAAAGAAAAAAGCCCGTACTGACAAATCTGCTGCTTGGACAACAGAAAAGCAACCTCAAAGATTTTTTTAAAAATTATTTTTGATCATTTTCGTATGCCTATCATATCCAGTTTAGGCAGTAGCCTTTAAAAAATTATCTCTAATTCTCCATAAACGAATGTGAGCTCGCTTTTTTACACTACCTAAACGGTTTCTAACACTCTTCTGTTGCCCCCGCCCCTGTCATTTCTATTGTGTTGCCCTGGCTTTTGCTACCTGAACACCAGAAGTCCAAAGCCACTGAGGCGCCAAACTAAATCTAGGAGCATTTCTAGAGGTTGAACTGACTGTGAGAAAGATTAGGTACTCCAAAACTTGATTTAATTTCCAAAGAAAGTTTTATTTGCCACCCCACCCCCTTCAAACATGGACTATTTGCTGGGGGGAGAATTTGGCTGTGGGTGTGCAGTGAAACCTCTTGAGTTGCAAAGCCTCAAATTCCAATAAGCCAAGATAAGATGTTTATATATAAATGTCACCTTATGGGAGGGGGAATTTTGATTCTACACTTTCCCCTCCCCCATCTCGCACAGAATATTCATTTCCTTTTGTTTTGATTATACACTTACATCCATGTGTATCCTTTTGTTGCAGCATGTAGAAGACCCGGGTATTAACATCCCAGATCAAACTGTAATTAAGAAAGGTAAGCCATTTCCTTCTGCATTCCAAGCATGTCCTTACAGGCAGAGTGCTATTTAAAAGAACTTGCAGAGCTGTATTTATTTTTTTTCAAATAGGATTTCCTAAAGGCTCAGAATTAGCAAATAGATAAGCATAGATCAGCAATGCTTAAATAATCAGCTTTCAGTATCTCGGTAATGGCAACAGGCTAGCTTTGTTCTGATTCATGATTTGACCATTTAATTTAGTTTAATGATATTTGGACAAACGCATGAAATGTGCAATAGTTGAACCTGATCTGGAAGCAGCATTTCAATTTTGAACCCGTTTAATAGTTTAGCTAATCCATTGTGTGAAGAGGAGTTAAGGCCATGAGTGTTAAGAAGTCTTTTAAGTTAAAATAATACAAATAATTTCATATTAATGTTAAGGATAGATGATTAAGAAGCAGTCCTTACAAGGGGGGAAACTTTCATGTTTTTCAGTTTAGTTTCTTGTTGGCTGTTTAAGGGTTTTGAAACTTTGTGAATTAGGTTAACAAAAATTTAGCTTTTGGTTAAAATTAGCACCTTGAGGATGTTAGGATTATTAGCATATCTGTTCAGGGCAGAGATTGTTGGAAAAGTGTCAAGTAATCTGAGTGGATTTGTATTGTTTAGTGAGTAGAAATAAAGTTTCTTGGATTAAAGACTATTCAATTGGTAGCAGCTTTTTTTGTTGTTATGGTGACAATGTTACATTTCAGAATTCTAGGCACCACCAGAGGACGATGCTATATAAAACTGTTCTCATTTCTAACCCCAATCAGTATATTGTTAGCTAGTTTAAAGTTTCATTTTTGCATCTGTGAAGTCTTTGTCACGTCAAATTAGATGTGCAAGGGATAAATCTTAAGAGATGCTCTTTCCAACTCGACATGATAATTGGCTCTTTTATTAGTAATCTCTCAAGAGTTCGTTTAACTCCTATTGTCTCTTATTAGCCTCCCCAGAGCTATTAATGTCACAAGTGATCTATCCAGAACCTAGGGCCCCCACCTCCCATACTGCTAGAATATTGCCCACTAAAGAACGAATGAGGAGCACTGTGAGGAGAACGTGTGCATATCATTATGTCTTCGTGTGGAATTTTAAAATACAAATGCACACTGTGCTTAAATGGTTGCGAATGCATGCATCCGAATTACACTGCTGTTGAGACAATTAACAATGTACTTTGTGCTGGTCTTGAATTTTTTCCTAACAATGAAGAGCTTATGGTTTTACCTCTGAAGAATACTGTACCTTCTAACTCCTCCCGCTGAAGGCGCTTAACCCTGCATGGGCTATTAAGTATTTGCAACAAAAGGACACACTGCTAGTGTTCTACTAGGCCTGTACTTCACCCCACCCTACTCCCAGTTCAAAACTGGGCTTGGAGTGGATCTCCAAAACCTGGTCAAAATGGGTCTATGTATCAAAAGGACGGGACGTGTGATGTGAATTTACCACTTTCTAGTTGGGTGACCTAACTGGAATGCTCATTTACTGGTTGCGTTAGCCATCTAAACTGTCGGGTGTTTTTAGTAAAAGCCCTTTCGGCCCGACATTAAGCTCGTCACCCCGCAAAACCCCGCAGCAGACCTAACTTACCCTCGGTTTGCAGCGCAACCCCGTCCCCTGCCCCCTAAACTGCACCGAGCCCGGGCGCACTCCGCTCGCGCGGGGCGCAGGAGTCGCCAGGTCGCTCCCAGCTCAGAGGACAGGGTCGGGCAGCACGTGGGCCGGCTCGCGCCGAGGGCAGAAGCGCGATCCCGAGTCGGGGACGGAGCAGGGGGCAGGAGGGACATGGGCAGTGGGGAAAGGGCTTCGGGATTTCAGAACTGGCAGGGAGGCAAGGGGGGGCCACCGTGCCAGGCCGGGGCCGGGTGGCGCGGGACCGGGGGACCCTCGACGCCCACGCGCGGCCTCCCATCTGTCTCCGCAGGCCCCGTGTCCCTGTCCAAGTCCAACAGCAACGCCGTCTCCGCCATCCCTATCAACAAGGACAACCTCTTCGGCGGCGTGGTGAACCCCAACGAGGTCTTCTGTTCAGTTCCGGGTCGTCTCTCGCTCCTCAGCTCCACCTCGAAGTACAAGGTCACGGTGGCGGAAGTACAGCGGCGCCTCTCGCCGCCCGAGTGTCTCAACGCGTCGCTGCTGGGCGGAGTGCTACGGAGGTGAGGCCCCGCCCGGGCCGCCCACCCACCCTCGCGGGCACGCGCACGCGCGCGGCCCCGGACTCTGCGCCTGCGCCGGCCGGCGGCAGCGACGCACGCGGCCTTCTCGCCACGGCCCTCCCTTCGCTGGAAAAGAAAGGGGCGGGGAGAGGAGCGTGGAGGCGAGTGGGTGGGATCTGGGGCGGGGCGGGGCGCGCCTGCGCCCTTCGCCTTTCTCGGGCGCGCGCTCTGCCGGCCACCGGCGCGCTCGCAGAGTCCTCCGTCTGCACTCTGCGCGCACGCGCAGCGCGCTCCGCCGCGGGCTCAGTCCCGGCCTCTGCAGCCGCGGGGCGCCGTGTGGCCGTCTTTTCCCTGTCGGCGCGTGCCTTGTAAGCCCAGGAAAACTTCCTCTAGGGCTCCTTGCTTTGCCTTGCCACCCGGTAGAGTCTCCACGGTTCCCAGCCGTCCTTTGAATACGGTTTTCACAGAGAAGCTTTTAGCTAAAGGGGGAGACCAGTTTCCTCTGGTGTCCGCCCCACCAGCCAGTGTCCCCTCCCTGCGGATGGCGACCCCCAGTGCCAGGGCAGCAGCTCGGACGGTCCCCGTGTGCGGTGTGTGCATTGGTGAAGTTGCTACCAAAGAATGCGTCCGTTCACTTACGTGGCGAGAACTCTCACCCCACAAGGTGGGAATGACTCATTTGCAGAGATGAGATTTTACAGGGTCAGCGAGGTACAGCACCGTCCCCAGAGCAGGCTTCCCCAGCTGTGGGCTTTCTCCTTCTGGGTTTCCGACAGCCATGTGCACCGAGGGGCTTGTGTTGAACTTAGCAGCATAAGTTATTATCCTTCTCCACCTCCTCCTCCTTAATTAAGACCAAGAACTTCCTTGTTTTGACTTTATTCATTTATCTATGGGCCCACAGTTCCGGTTTGGTGGGCCTATCCCATACAAATGCGGTAAGAGGGTTTTGGAAGTTTTTAACACCAGCGATTCCTCCTTCACAGTCATTTGGCTTTCTCTTTGTAATCTTTTCCTGACCCTGATCTTTTTCCTGCCCTCTGCTTTTTCCTCCCCTTCCCCCACCCCCAATATCGGAGAGTGTTTACCTAGGGGAGTATAATCTAATCCACACAATTAAAGAACACGAGTAGGGAATAAAATCTGAAATTAATTAATTTGCTGTTTTATTTAAACAATTTATCTTAACCACTTTCTGATTATGGGAGTCTATTTAGACATCTATTTAGTACCACCTCTGTTGTCTCTGAAATGGGCGAAATTTTGAGAGGCTGATATCAGGCTTTGACATTTCCCGTTAGGCTGGTGACATGGCATGTAAACAGTTGGTGAAATGAATTTCCCACTGGGGCTAAAGCAGAGCATGAGACGTGAGAGTGATGATAACTTTGGTTACTCTGAACAACCTAACAGCAGATCTGGCAAAGACAATTTAAAGACCCCATTGGGATTTGTGTGATTGTAAGAACAGAGAAAATATACAATAATCAGTTGAGCTCAAGAATACCTTCAACCCTAGAGACCAGAACCATGTTTATTTGCCTGTGGTTCTTCTTTTGAAGGTTGGGAAATCAGAACATTCCAATGTGCCACAATAGTTGGAATAATAACTAAACACGCACGTGGGGGTGGGGGTGCTTTACAGTTTAACCACCATTTATCTCCTTATGATCTTTCTATACCATTCCTTTCTAGGTTCCCCTCCTTTAAATGTCTCAGGGTCACACTTCTCAATTTTTAAAAACACATTTCAGAAAGCTTTCAAAATGACTATAATTTGATGCAGAGCAACCCAATGTTTTCTAAATCCTTATCTTGCATATATCTATGAAACAGGGCGAAGTCTAAAAATGGAGGAAGATCTTTAAGAGAAAAACTGGACAAAATAGGATTAAATCTGCCAGCGGGGAGACGTAAAGCTGCCAACGTTACCCTGCTTACATCACTAGTGGAGGGTAAGCGAATCCACTTGCTAACTAGAAAGGAACTGCCTTCTGGGGAAATGGATAATATTTAGTGGCCAGATGTTTGGGTATTTTGTGTCAATTGGGCAATTTCATCTTTCCAAAGAATATAGCCAGAAGTGAATGGAATTCTTGCTTGCCAAAAAACTATTTGCATATATTCCTATCCTCCTCCTTCTTCCCCTCTACCACAAAATTGCACCTTTGCTACCCATTTCTGACCTAAACAATGCACAAATTTCAGAACTGTGCATTTTCCAAGAGTCCTTTAAAGAGCTCAGCAGTGAATTACTTAAGTTATTCTGACATCTGCGTTTGAGAAATGCGTGACCATTACTTCCTGAATTAATTTGGGAATCTTTGACCTGTATCCTGATTTAAGACTGTCCCCCAAAGCTCAGGCTTTTATGGCCTTGTAGGTTTTTGTTTTCCAAACATATGCTGTCTTATCTCTTGTCTAATTATGCTTCTCTCCTGGAAGGGAAGAAAATGAGCCATTTTAGACTTCAGATTGTTTGGATATGGAAAGGAAAAAAGAAATATAAGCATTGCAAAAAAGTTTCTCATGGCAGTTTTTAACACACACCCACATATTCACCCTTCCAAACTCCTTGATATAAAAAGCCAACCATGTCCTCACTCCCTGCTCTAAATAAACTGACTCTAGAACCCATTCCCATTACTGTCTCCTTTAGAGTCCTGACTCTAGAACCCATTCCCATTAATGTCTCCTTTAGAGTCCTATGTTTTTCCTAATCCTATACTGGCTCAAGTTTAGGTGTTTTGGAATGAAGGTATAGCTCTCTTGCATTTCTCTTTGTGTATTTTTAGAAATGTCTCATACTGATGGTGAAAAAGACACTTAAATTAACCAGCAGATTTAAAAGCTAAACTTCATAAATGAGGCATTTTATCTTATTTACATCTTGCATTTGAGGAGTTATATTACAAGTGAATTCAAGTTCTAACTATAAGTTACTAAAAAAAATGCCTAAAACCACTTATTTGAGAAGGAATTGTATGATTTCTATTTGTGAGTGGTATCAAAGACGATAATATAACTGTTTTAGAAAACAGCAATTGTTCAGTGCCAGAAACTCAACTACAATAGCATCATATTAAAATGATAACAGCACACAGAAAGCCCTCTATTCATACCCCAGAGAATTATCCACCATGGAAAGGCAGTGGTGGCTTAGGGTGTAGCTCGAGAGTTGGTCTGGGTCTGGGGGTTGAGTGCTGTAGTAGGCAGGCAGTTTCTGGAGAACTGTTATTGTTTGTGATCCACTCCATTTTATGGAAACAAGCTCTGCGGAGAGGGCTTTGATGCTCTAATTGACGCATGCGTTCTTCCGGAGCTGGAGCTAATGGCAGGAAGCCCTGCAGTAAAAACCAACTGGTTCAGGAAATTAAAACCAAAGATTCGAAAATCAGCAACACAGACAGACTCAGTGGAGTGACCCTCAAATCCTCTTGGTTAATCGGTTTGGATGAACAGATAATTATATGTGATCAAGTTAAAATGTAAACTCTCAGTGGTTCCCTTGTAGAAAAGCTCAAGGGCTAATCACGAATATCATTTAGGTGTGTGTTGATAGGTGTGAGGTTGGAATACAGAACCATTTTAAGAGAGAAGGTGGGAAAAGCCAGTCAGGGCAGTGGGTGGGAGTGGAGAGTTGGTGGTGGGATTCACATTTTCAAATCATTGTGGCTTTTAGGACAAGAGGTCATATTTATGGATGAGCACACTCAGCAGATCCTATAGAGAAGGAAATAAAATGTCTGGCCGAGAAAACAAGTAGTTTGTCTTTCCTTCAACTTCTGGGCTAAGAAAATAAGGGAGTTGGGAGCAGAGAGGAAGTTTTGATCCTAGTGCTCTTCATTCTCTTGCCCTCCTCTCCTTGCTCTTGCCAGGAGAAGCTGTCCATCTAGCCAGGGACTTTGGGTACGTGTGCGAAACCGAATTTCCTGCCAAAGCGGTAGCTGAATTTCTCAACCGACAACATTCCGATCCCAATGAGCAAGTGACAAGAAAAAACATGCTCCTGGCTACAAAGTAAGGCATTTACCTCTGCGGGGTCTCTTCTGAGTCTTATTGTCAAGAGAAACAGAAATTATTTTTTTCTCTTCTTTTTCTCTTCTTTTCCTTTTGCATGAATCAGCTTTGTTGTTGTAAATACTGAAGATCTTGTAAACCATGATCTGTGTGGGAGGGGAAATACAGATGGGATTGTTAGTGTAGTTCCACATCTTCTCTTCTGTCCCACTTTCTCATTAAAAAAAATATTTTAAATTAATATGTATGGGAGTGAAGTGTTACAAGGGTTTGATCGAAGCTGAATGTGAATTTGTGACCATGTTTCAGCAAGGCAGGAATCACACTCTCAAAGGGTAACTAACAGGGTTGCCTATCAGTTTTTGTCTCCTATCAATCTATTCTGCAAGGGCAAAGATTAAGCAGTGGCCTGCAAAATGTGCAAGTCAGAAGCTGGCCTAGTTTCAACTCTGGTCCCTTATTTGGTTTCTTACCTTCCTTTCTCTCCCCACTTCAAAGTGGTACACACACACACACACACACACACACACACACGCGCGCGCGCGCGCGCACGCACCCCACACAAGTTTTAGCCTACAGGCGAGATGTCAAATAGGTTTCGAAATGGCCCAAGTTCTATTCCCACCGGTGCCTGCACTGAATAGACTTCTCCAGGTGGTGTGTGAAAAGAAAATGACCGTTTTGATATGTTTTCTGGAAATTAAAAGGCTTTTGGGGAAGCCCTTAATTATCACAAGTCGATGTCACAGAAGGGCATGGAAGCAGAGGGTGGAAGGCAGGGCTTGGGTGGGACAGTTCTGGCCTGGAGACAGACATCAAGTGGCCCTGGCGGAAGGAAGGGGCAGGGGCCAGCCCTCGCTTCTCACTCTCCGGTTCCCACCCCTCCTCACCCCCAGGCCTAGCTGCAGCCACCTCAGGAAGGTCCCTACCAGTCCTTGCTTAAAGACTGGGACAGAGCAGCCTGTGTGCTGGCCTCATCTGCCCAGATTTCTGACTTTTCAAGACTCTTTCTGAAGTTTTACTTTTCCCCGTTCCCTTGGCTTCTTCCTAAGTGCGACCACATTGACAGTCTCCCTAAAGAATTTTTATTTGGGTGTGTGGAGGAAAAGAGAGGAAATGGGGAATTTAAACATCTATTTCTTCTTCCCCTAAACCACCTTGAATTATCTCCAAGGAACGACCCCCCCTCCCCCCTTTTTTTTAAATGGCAGAATAGTTCCAAGCAAAGTTTTGCCTTTCTGTGTTTGATTGGAAGGTGAATGGGTGGCCTTCACAGACTGCTTCCGAGGGCTCTCCAGAGGAGCAGGGAAGAGACTGTATGGAGTTTTGGAAGGAAGGGTGTGGTTGTACCTTATTGGCCAGAGACGTGTTTCTGACTTCCGGTCTAACTTGTCTTTCTTTGTCATGCAGCCTGTGAAGTGTTTTCCTTTAGGTAGGACGTTTGGTGTGAGAAATCGCGGGGTTAGAAATTTGTTGTGTCTGAGATGAGAGATAGAGAGAGGAGGGGGAAGGGGGGAGAGAGAGAGGGAGGGAGAGAGAGACAGAAAGACAGAGAGAGAGGCTTTTGTGAAGGCAGGAAGGACGGGCGTTTGGGGAAGCAGAGGTGGTTCAGTGGACCTGAGGGCTCTCCCAGCACGCGGCCACACCCCTGCCGGTGGCCTCAGGCCCTGCAGTGCCCACTGGGTGGGGACAGAGGTGGCTTCAGGGAGAGAGGTTTTCTCTGCCCCCGGTGCAGTGCAGCCCGTCGAGAGCCTCATGCCTCTCTCTCCACCCCACTTCCGCTGCAGACAGATATGCAAAGAGTTCACCGACCTGCTGGCTCAGGACAGATCTCCCCTGGGGAACTCTCGGCCCAACCCCATCTTGGAGCCCGGCATCCAGAGCTGCTTGACCCACTTCAACCTCATCTCCCACGGCTTCGGCAGCCCGGCGGTGTGCGCCGCGGTCACGGCCCTGCAGAACTATCTCACCGAGGCCCTCAAGGCCATGGACAAAATGTACCTCAGCAACAACCCCAACAGCCACGCGGACAACAGCGCCAAAAGCAGTGACAAAGAGGAGAAGCACCGAAAGTGAGGGTCCTCCCTCCCCCCACCGGCAGGTGACAGCTGGGGACCAGCCACCCTTCCTGCTGCTGCTGCTGCTGCTGCTGCTGCTGCTGCTGTGCTGCCTCTGTCCCGCCCTCCGGGCCCTGAGTCCTCGGGACTGCTCTCTCCACTGCCATGGGGCAGCCGCTGCCGCTGCCTTGGACTCAGCCCCCTGCCTCGACTTACCCCCCTTGCCCTAATGCGGAGCCTAAGAGAACAGAACGGGCCTTGAAGCCAGCACAGAAAAGTTCTGTCGAGTTTGTGAATCTTTTTTTTTTTAACCAACAAATCAACAACAAACATTAAAAACTTTTTTTTCTAAAAAAAAGAACATAAAAAATTTAAAAAAAATTATATGAGCTTCATGGGACTGAATCACCACCTTCCCTTACATACTTCAGTTCAGATTGTAGCCATACTTTAAAAAAGGCAAAAAGCTTAATGACATTTTTATCAGTATTGTGAATAAACTTGAACACAAACACACGAAGTTCTATGTCATGTCTTCAGTTGTAGAAGTTTTCCCTCTCCAAGGTAAAGCCACCAACGTGGACTTTCTCTGGCAGCACGATTCACAGTTACATAAGGGAGTCAGTGTTCAGAACTCTGTATATATTTATTTATGTGTAATTTAATGGGATTTGTAAATATGGTGAGTCTGTTTTAAGCCTTTTTTTTTTATTTATCTGGTGATCTTGTTTACCTCTTGTTTAGTGGGTTTTTGAATCTTCCCTATTAGTTCTTTCATGTGGTTCATGGTACTTATTTAGAAATCCAAGGTTTGGGGAATTTTGTTTTTCCTCTGGGATTCATGAATTTAGCCCTGTTGTAGCATGTTAAAGGCGACAATGAAACAGCTGGACAAATTTTAAAAAAGGAAAATAAAATTTTATATATAATTAGTATTACATTTAGCTTTTCATTGAACTGAAAGAAAAAAGTGACATTGGACCCTGGAAAGATTTTTAAACTTGAGCAGTTTGATAACCCTTCTATGTATTGTGGGGAGAAAAAAGAAGTTTATTTTATTCTACTGTCCTCCCTTAAAAGCATCATCTGAGCAATAAATGAGTATTGTCTTTATACCAAGGGTTAGGGGATTTTCCTCTCTCTTTCTCTCTCTTTCTCTTTGTGTTCAAAGAACTTCAAACATTTGGGACCACCTGGTGTCCTGTATTTCCACTGGCCCTATTGGAAACAGTTCTAGTTGTATTGTACTGAGCTGTGCCGGCAGTAGTTTTCATGCCTGTCAATGTATCATAGTCCTTTGTTGCCCAGATAAATAAATATTTGATACGCTTTATGTCGATTTTTTTTTATTCAGTGGCTGTCTTTACCCAGGCGTATTTTTGTTCTTGGCAGTATTTTTTATTCAGTATGGTTACAGTAATTGAGTTTAACTCTCCCTTGGCATTTGCTCCTTGCAATAAGCAGCTGAACCCATTGTTTCCCTCAAGTATAATAAAAACTTACTTTCAACTTGGAGTTCAGAGCAGGGTATCATTTAGATATTCCACTGAGTCTGTATTCAGACAAATGACACAATAAAACCCAATGTATTCTTTTGGATAAAAGATTGTACTGCTAAAGGAATGACACACTGTCTTTTCCTTATCAGAAACATTAATTTTATTATTAAAAATAAAGTTTTATTTTATTTATGTTGATCCTTTAGGTTTTCATTTGGGTACTGGAAACCAAAATATAAAAGCTCCAGAGCCAAACATGAAGAATGCCAAGGTGATGGAGAATGGAAGAGCCAGAGACCCCCAGCCCCATAAGTGCCTTCTAGTCTGTCTCAGAAGATAGCTGAAATTTAAATTACTAGTTCATTAGCAGAAAAAAAAAATCCCTACTTCAACCTTCACTTGTTTGCTCAGGGTTCTCTGTGGCTGAGACACAACCATGAGCTAAAACCAGGTCTAGTTTTCTGGGAGGAGAAAAGGAACAGTGGTAGAAATATGCATGTAACATAAGAGAGAGGGCAAATTGTCTCATTTTAATATTTTATCTAGAGACGAGTTTACTACTGCGCTGTTCTTAAGTCTCCCTGGAGGTAGCAGAGCCGAGAGGGAAATGATGCTGATCCCTGGAATCTTCTGCTTGCCCCTCAATGCCTCCCAGCCTTCCCCCTCTCCACAGGCCTCCTCTTAGGACCTTTTAGAAACACAAAACGGGCCAGGTGGGGAGGCCAGGCTGGAGGAGGGCTGAGAAGCTGCCCTCACTGACCACTCCTGTCTTCCTCACTAACAGGACTGTGAGCTCTGCGAAAAGAAAGGACTTCCTGTGCATAAAGATGGCGAACTCAGAGCTTTTGTAAACTGATTTGGAAATTACTTGCCTTGGAAGTGAGGGTGGAAGATGGAGGTTGGAGGTTGGCTGACTGGAAGGATTATAGGAAAGGGCTGAGCAAAAGTGTCTAGGTAGACGCGCTGGGGTGGGGCCTTAACATTTGTTCATGGGGCTTGGCAGTTGTGAAGGACCAAGGAAGCAAAGCATTAGAGAGTGTCCATTTTGCACTCTGCTTTCTAATCTCCTTATGGAAGGCAACGTACAATCAATCTCCACAAACGAACGAGAATTGGTGGAGTCTAAATTCTATTTTCCAAAGCCAGAGAATTCATAACAATGGTGGGTTTAAAAAATTCTAATGGAAAGTGTATTCTCAGAACGCAACGCGGCAATTGTTTTTTAAAGCGGTTATTTATTATTTCCTAGAGAGACTGGTTAACTGTAACGTAGATGTAACAAAATAATGAGGCGAATGAACCCTAACTGTACATACTCTTGACAGAAATGAAATGCACACAGCATCGTAGCAGGTGAAGTGAAGCATTGTCTATCATGGCTGTTTTTCTTGGCTGCTTCTCAGATTGTGTGGGGGATCCTAACCTCAGGCACAATAGCATTCATAAAGAGCCATACATTGCTGCTCTTTCTGCAACGACACATAAATACTCATTTTCAAACGAAAACGATCTTATTAAATACCATTCATTCATATCTGGATTTACAGATGCTTGTTATGTTGGAAAACCTGAACCCAATATAATCCTTGCATCCTGAGAAAGATAGAAAGGAAATAGTGGGTTAGAACATTACAAGGTCATAATAAACAATGGTTTCCAAATGCAGGGAATTAGTTATTTTTATTCTGTAGTTGGACATTTGGAGAATCATGATATTGTCACTCTTGGTTTTTTCTTGTTTTAACAAAAAGGGGGCTAAATGTATTGTTAAGGGATGGGGCATTAGGGAGGTTACTATAAAAAATAATTTTTATTGGGCTAACCAAAGGCTGTGTGGGTTTGATTTCTTGTGACCATTGTATACTTCCTAAATCACATGGTAGTCTCATGACAGTTAGGTGTGTGTGTACTGACAACGGTGATTCTCTTTGGAGTAAACCAAATTAGGATACATACTTGAATTATAGAAATGCTGATAGGCCATGCTAATCACCACGCCCATTTTTATGGAAACACAATGCTCTTTCTGGTTGGTTGTCATCATTACCCCCTTCTGTCCTCCAACACCCTTTAAAAACCACAATTCAACCCATTCCTCCCCAAAATCGAATATTAATGCAATTTGCGTTTTTGATGGAACTACCATCAAGCCTGCAATGCCCCGCAGCTGAAATAATATTTAAAATAGAAGGGATTTGACATTTGAGAAGTCAGTGGTTTGAAATACCCAGTTGTACTTAGCTAATTCAGTCCTTAACCTCTGGTTTCAAATAAATCAATTACAGTCGATTCCACTTCAGTTCAGAAGTGCACAGGGTTTTAGTTAATTGAATACATTTTATTCACTTGCTAGGAATATTCATTTATCAAAATTCCAAATATAATATACATTTCTTTACCACTCAGGTTACGTTAGACTGCACAATCAGATCCAATTTGCCCTGGTTTCCCCCAAATCCTGTTTGAAGTCCAAATGTTACCACTCTGAAACAATGTCTCCTCATTCCCTTTTCGTCCAAAAGTAAATTCAAAAAAAAAATTTTTTTTTTGGTCCAACAGGAGAGCTGATTTCTCCCACAAAGAAGATATATTTGGTCACCAGCCTTGTGTTAAGTTTAAATAGGTTAAGAAAAAACTGGATTAATTAAGTTTTTTAAAAGCATAGCCTGGAAATTAAAAAAAACAAAAATAAAAAACAACGCGCATGGTTTCCATTAGAGCTTAACTTTGCCAAACTGACAGGTATGACAACATTTTGTGGTCTCAGAGTCACAGCCCCTTTTCTTAACCCTCTCCCTCCTCTGCCTCCCACCCTCTGGCTTTTAGAGAAGTGCTTGAATAAATACCAAGCTGTTAACTGAAAGCAGTACAGTTAAATGTGCCTAAATGAAGTTGTGCTTTAAACAGATATTGATGTATGCAGTGTTTTATATTTATTGTTTGTAGCATCCTGCTGGCAGCAGTTTACTGTTTGGAGAGAAAAGGGGTTAATTAGCGTCATTATCAATCACTAATGCTTGCCTAACGTGTCCAAAGAATAATCAAGTTAGAGGACGGCATGAAGCCAACAGCTGCTTCATCCCAGTTACAGATCTCCTGAGCCGCTGGGGTATAGGGTGGAGGGGAGGTGCGGTGAGGGGAGAATCTTCATTGCTTGGGTAAAGGGGTTATAAAAATCGGATCAACTCGAGAGAGATCTGGGAGGCAGAAAATACACCATAAATAACCAGTGTTTTTCATTCTCTGAGTTACAGGTGCACAGACACAGCGGCTCTGAAACAAGAGTTCTGAAATTTGCTCTTTAAATTCCTTCTTGAGTACCCAAGTTGGAGATTTGAAGAAACACATCCATGTGCTACATGGAGAGAGAGAGAGAGAGAGAGACAGAGAGAGAGAGAGACCAAAGATAAGCTCAAGTTAACTTCCAGCATCACACAGACATTGCCTCCCAGAAGAATAAAACCATAGAACACGACAGGTAATATCAGTTCCCTGCATCCAGTCGTACTCTGCTCGGGGACCTTTTCTCCTTGTGAATTCCAATGAACAATTATTTTCTAAGTTAAACTTCATTTAATACCTGCCATGCACAGGTATTCTGGTTCCAGATTCTTCTTCTTACTACTCTGAATGACACTGTCCTCCCGTGACCTACCTTGGGTAAGAAATTGAAAAAGTGTGACCTTCTTATGGGTTCCTTTCAGGAGAAATTTGCCTTTAAAAACTTCTTTGCTAAGTTAGTCATGAGTTAGAACTAAAATTCCCACTCATGACCAGAGTTTAGTCAACTGTTCTTCAAAGGCAGGGAGCAATTGTTTGGAGATAGGCCATATATAAACAGCAAGGAGCTGTATGATTGAATGAAACACTGATTTCTTTCTACAAAACCAGTAGCCACAAATCCTTTTTACCCACGTGGACATAAATGGGAACTATTCCCAAATTGTGGGTGGAAGTCTTAACTCCAAGAGTATGTGACTGGTTTTCCCCACAATGGACAGCAAGGTCACCATCAGAGTGGGAAAAAAGAAGGATGTTGGGATGGAAAATGATATAATTCATGTTTATGGAAAGTCCTGTGTTTAAACATTATAATCTACTGCTTACCATCACGATAAAGGAAAAGAAGAGGAGGAGGAAGAAGGGGAGAAGAAAAAGATTCTAGGCTGAAATTGGGGGTCCCAAAACTAAATGTTTAAAAGTCTTATTCATGTGGAAGACTGTATTTCCATTTTATCTTTGATGTCTGGACAGGACAAGAGAACCAACTTAGCCTTCACAGATTTTATTGCAGAACAGAACAGAAATGGTTAGCAGATTATTAGAGAAATTGTAGAGAGAGATTATTGTAGAGAAGCCCAGGGAGGTGGTATTCTACAGTGGATACAACAGCGCCCCCCCCCCCTTTCTGGGATGGTATCTGTTTTTAAGTGGCCCTCCCGGTGCTATTGCTTAGGGTACCATGATTTTTCTAGGAAATCAAGACCAGGTCTGGCGGTTGGAGATGTAGCTCAGTGGTAGAGCTCTTGCCTAGCATGTAGGAGGGAGGCACTGGGTTCAACTGAGGCACAGAAAACAGCAAACAGCAAACCTGAACACAAGCCCCCCAAATGGAAGTGGTGAAGCCTCAGAGCAACTCATCAACCCACCCTGGCACGAAGTTCTGATTCCATCAGATGCTCCAGTTTTATAGGTCAGTACTGGGGCCTGTTTTTGCCTGGGAACAAATCTCTTCTAGCTTTTCCTTTGAGTTCCTCTCGCTTGTCAGTCTGAAAATCCAACCTATCCTGGGGATATGGGATATATATATATATATATATATATATATATATAT